CCATTAAGCTTTGATCTGCTTTGATGCGAGATAGGATATGCGAGTCTGCCCCGGCTGGCACCCATGTTGATTCGAACACACACACAGTCCCTGGGAGAGGAATTTCCCACTGAGAAAAGAATCCCCAGTAATTCCAATTTAGTTATCTCTCTTACAAGTGTAAATTAAGTTCACAACTCCCTTGTAAGAACTGGTCTCACAAAAGACAGACCAGCCCCATTTGGCATGACAGACAAGAAAGAGAAATACGTGACCCCATGAGTATAAAAATAGGTCCAGCAACACACTCACTTTGAGTGTCATTCTACCCTCTACCTGCTGGTCGGGTTAGGTGTTTGACCTCCCGAGGTTCTATGGGGACGCCCACCTCGTATTTTCGTCTTTCCTAGGAATTGAGGGACCGGCCCTGGCCTGACATGCTGGAGTCGAGAGGCACAGAAGGGGGTAAAAATTGTACCTGGATGTGGTCCTCTGTCTTAAGTGTACACATAGAGAGAGTAAGCTGTTACTTGGTACCATTATTTCTATTTTGTAACCATTTTTAAGATCTATATTTTGCTAGTAGTTAAGAAATAGAGCAATAGCCATTGCAACCATATGATTTATAAGCTTCCTCAAATAAACCTGTAACTGTTTAAGTTTTAACCTGACTCCTTCAGTTGCTGTAATAGAACCAAGCACAATTTAAAAGAACTTCAGCCGGTCATAAAGGGACAGACATAGAGCTTGGGCGTTTGGATCTGTGTCACTCCCAGGTGACAAGATCCGTTGGGGCACCTTTTCAGCCTTTCCTAGGCTGCCCACTGCGAAGGAACTTTGTGTTCTAGCAGCTAAAATCTAAGGTGTAATAAGCTCTTCCTATATAACGGGGCGTCTGTTGGCCTGCTGGCCACCCTCTGCGATGGGACCCCGCTCCTAGCAGTAAAGACACGGACGTTAAACCTTTTCTCGGAAACACACACACACACACTGCCCTGACCGTCGGCTGACAGGGCCAAGGACAGGGAGACTGTGGGGGCCTAGCACCTGCAGTGGGGATCAGGACTGCCCCTGCACTCGCTGGCAGTTGTGGGAAGTGGAGCAACCCGGCCCCAACTGGCTCCACTCCACCAGTGCCCAGTGTTGCTTCGGGGAGGGAGGTTGGGGAAAAGGGTGAGTGGATACGGGCAGGGGGCAGAGTAGAAGTGAGATAGGAGGAGGGCCTGGAGCGGAGCTGTCCCGGGCTCTGCACCCCCCTAGGGATGGCTCTGGGTGGGGTTGGTTGCGATGGATGGCCAGTGCTCAAGAGTCTTGGACACATTTCCATTTGTCTTATGTTCCTAAAAGCTCCTGTTTCAGGGTTTGAGCTGGCAAGTGGTAGGGGTCAGGAAGGGACTCCTCATTCTCTTCCATGTGTTTTAAACCCTCTTCCTCAGAAGCATTAGGCTGGGCCACAGGTTGCGAAGGGCTGGGCAGGATAAGCCAGGGTTCAGAGGTGGCAGCCAGCATTCTCTGTCTCTGGGGCTGGACTGGCTGGTGCCTCTGCATCTGCACGGGGTCTCACTGGCCCCGAGGGTGGGGGTGGGAAGGAATCCCCTTCCCAAGGCAGTTTGGCAGGACACTGGTTCCTTTGGGGGCATAGGCCACCTGCCAGGCTTCTGAGGGCATTTCTCATGTAACCCTTTCTCTGCCACTGTGGGGCACTTTGGTGCCTCCTGCCTTGCCTCATGGCACAGCGTGGTGTTGTCGTCTGTGGGCTGAGCCCTTTGCTCGAGCTGCAGGGACAGATTGGTGTTGCTACCTATGACAGGAGATCAGACTAGATGATCTAGTGATCCCTTTTGGCCACAGACTATGATCTGTGACCTCTTCTGTCAACCTCCTTACTGTCCATTCCTCTCTAGCATGTTGCCCGATATGCTGTCTCCTGCCTCTGGTCCAGCTTGGACGTACTCCCACTCTTTTCCTCCATCTTCCCCACTCAGCCTGGCACATGCTTTGGGTCTTATCTCTGCTTCCCGTCCGGCCCAGCTGACACTCTTATTCCTGTCACATCCTATCCTAGCGCATCCATGGAAACACCAGATTCTCTGTGCTCAAGCAGTGGTGTTCCCCTTTCTGACTCTCAGGGCTGAATGCTGGAAGAACAGGGGCTCCCCTCTCCCTTCGCAGCACCTGTCCATACTCACTTCTGACAGGCACACTGTGGCAACGGCTCCGGCCATTGTCACACGCGCAGTATTCAACTCTGCCTCCCATGAGACGCAGCCAGGTCTCTCTCTGCTGGTAAATCTGTCGAGATGAACGGTCGGTGCAAGTGGCTGCAATTGGAGACAGGAAACCATCCTTAGGAAAAGGCAAATAGGGCTGCCTGACGATAGAGGTTCTGCTTCCCTCCCTGAACAGCCAAGTGTTCCCCTCTCTGTCCTGCCCAGGCTAGGAATGTAAGCGACTAATCCACTAGTCGACACACTAGTCGACTAGTTGCTTCCCCCCTCCCCTCCCGCTGCCTCTATCACAGAAAGGCAGCAAGGGGGGGGAAGAAGAGAACGGGTGCTGGAGGGAGCCAGCTTAAAAGCCGATTCCCCCCCAGCTCCAACTCCATGGGATGGCAGCCAACTTTGAAATGTACAAGAGTCCCCGCTGGGGCTTTTGTATATTTCAAAGCGGAAACACCACAAGGAACCTGGAGATTAGTTAATCAAAATTTAACATCCATAGCCCAGACCACAGCTGCTGTGTCCCCGCTACTGTGCTGTGGGATGTAGAATTCTGTGCTCCACCAGCCTATGTGTGTGGGTGTGTGCAGGGGAGGCGAGAGATCTTCTTCATGTTTGGAACTGAGCAAGATAGTCCAACATGCTGGCCCTGCTTTCCATAGCTTTCATGGTCAACCCTCTGTCAGTGCAGCCTATGAGAATGGGCAGAGTTGGAGCATGAGCCTGGCCTTCTGCAGCACCAGCCTGCTTTGCCTTGCACATCTGCTCAGCCCGAGTAAGAAGAGGTGCCTTCTCCCCTCCTTACCTTTAGATCTGGCTCCCCGTTTGAGGCGCACCCGGAGCTCCTGCAAGCAGAGAGAGAAGAAATCTGAGTGGCTGCTGTCCTTGCAGTTCAGCGACCGAGGTCTCCCAAAATCTAGATTCCTTTCTGAGAGACACTCCAGCGTTCCCCAATGTGGTATTTCTGGTAGTGTGGGAGGTGCCTTAGCTATCCTGCACTGTTATAGGTGGGTCTGAGCCCAAGCACAAATTAGCGCATGTTCCTGGGCTGTGCATTAAGGAGCCTTCCAGTTGCACAACCATCCTGCGCTGTTTCTCTCTAAATGCCGGACATGGGAATTTGGGCTTGGGGGTAGGGCTGTTGCCTCGAGGCAGAGGGAAAATCAAGTGCTGCTGTTAAATAATATTGGACAGAAATACTTTGACAAAGAACATAAGAACGGCCATAATGGGTCAGAGCAAAGGTCCATCTAGCCCAGTATCCTGTCTGCCGACAGTGGCCAATACCAGATGCCCCAGAGGGAAGGATCACAACAGGTAATCCTCACTTGATCCATCCTGTCACCCTTGTCACCCACTTCCAGAGAAAAAGAGGTTAGGGACACCATTCCTACCCATCCTGGCTAATAGCAATTGGTGGACCTAACCTCCATGAATCTATCTAGCTCTCTTTGAACCAGTTAAAGTTCTAGCCTTCACTGCATCCTCTGGCAAGTAGTTCCACAGGTTGACTGTGCGCTGAGAGAAGAAAAACTTCCTTTTGTTTGTTTTAAACCTGCTGCCTATTAATTTCATTTGGTGACCCCTAGTTCTTATATTGTGGGAATAAATAAATAACTTTTCCTGATTCACTTTTTTCCACACTAGTCAGGATTTTATAGACCTCTATCATATCCCCCCTTAGTCTCCTCTTTTCTAAGTAGAAAAGTACAAGTCTTTTTAATCTCTCTTCAGATGGGACCCGTTCCAAAGCCCAAATCATTTCTGTTGCCCTTTTCTGAACCTTTTCCAATGCCAAGATATCTTTTTTGAGATGAGGTGACCACATCTGTACACAATGATATTTTCTCTTATTCTCTATCCCTTTTTTCTACACTAGGCCAAATTTCAGAAAAGCCTCCTCTTTCGGAAGACCCCTTCTTCCTCATGGAAGGAGGAAGACAGGGCTTCTGAAAGTGTGCGTCTGCTATTCTACAGAAAAAAGCAGAAGAGCAGATGCGTTCCCTGGCCGCAGTCCCATAGTGTAGACGTAGCCCCACTGTGTAACTCTGCCCCTTCTTCTAACCAGGAAAAAACACTGAGGACTCTGAAGAGAGGAGAGTGCTGTCGGGACAGGTTAGGACCCCCAGAGTGCCAGGGATCTCCCAGAATGGGGTTGGCATGGTGACCTCTTACCTGGCATTGCAGAGTGGTGATGATGGCTGTCATCACCAAGTAGAGATATAGGACTTTCCCTTCCATTCTCTGGTTTTTTCAGCGTTGCCTTCAGATCTCAGAATCTAAAAAAACTAAACAGAAAAGCTGAGCAAGGAGCTGACAGTGTGAGCAGGGGTTAATATTGTCAGAGTGAAAAAGGGCTTTTACCCACACAGCTCCCATTAATTTCCAGAGGCCAGGAAGCTGGCAGGGAGTGGCAGTGTCCCTGAGTTGGCTCTGCAATTTGTTTGAGAGCCTCGGAGTCTTGCTATAATTTGGAAGGGCCCTGACAGTCTGGAACCGGACCCACTTCACACATTGGCAGTGGGTGAGAAGAGAAAGGAAAGGAGAGGGGTTTTCAGGGGTTGCAGATCTGGGAGGCAAAATAAAGAAATAAATTAAATAAGATGAAGCTGCATCACTGAAGGGTGCACATTAAGTACTAAGTTACTAAAGTTGCTGCTGCTCTCAGGTTATGAGATACCCCCTTTGTTTCTCCTGATCACTTTAAGCACTGCCACCTCACATAGGCAAATGGCAGAAACCAAGTTCCAGGGGTTGGCACTGAGCAGTGCCTGTCTGGCACTGAGCAGTGCCTGTCTGGCACTGCTGGGGGGATGACTTCACAAGAGGCAAGCCCAGTTTACTTCACAGCAGGCTGTGGGAATCCAAGGGTGTGCAGTGGCAGCAGACAAGGCTGGACTCCCACAAAAGAAATTGTGACTCCTGGATTTGGCTAATAAAACAGCATCTCTAGAGTCACCAAAAAGAGGCATCTGAAAGAGCAGGAGTCTCTAGTTGGAGTGTCTGCTCTGGGGCACAAGGGATACCTGTGCTGAGCAAGAACAGTCTGGAGGTCCCAAGTCTGTGTGAGAGCTTGCAGGTATTAGTACAGTTTTTGCATGGAATCAGAAGCGTGACTGCTCCCTCCCTAACCCACATACCCAAAGAATAATGCTGCCTGCTGGTGGATCATTAGCACAGGGTGAGGGGAATGCTGAAGAGCCTGCTGGGTATGCGTGAGGAGTATGGCCAGCATTAACAAATGTAAAGCAATAGAGCTGTTTCTCAGAATTGTAATCTCCACTGCCTGTGGACTTCATTTCCACTATCAGCCGTGCAGGCAGTGGAAAGTAGGTTGGTTGACTATAATGCTAGTTGTGGTCTGGCACTCCATCTCACTTGTTCCTTGACTCACTTTCCTATAGTCAAAACAGTCCCACATTCCCTTTCATCTCCCTCAGACAAAGCTCCATCCCACCCTTCTGAGAAATCTTTACTACTCGCAACAGTAACCTTGGGAACCACTCTGTTCCTCACGGTTCATTAGCTCATCAGATGTGACTGAGACAAGAGTGGACTTAGACCTCTGCCTGCCTCCATCTTTTCAAGTGAAGACGTTAATTTCTTTCTCTCCTTCCCAGTCCTCTTTCTTACCTGGTAGTGAACTCCTTGGCGCTTCCCTGACCGCTGCTCATTACAGCAGGAAAATCCAGGCCCTGACTCAGCTGTCTTGTGTGTTCCCTGCCTCCTTACCAAACAGCATTGCTCTGACCTCTCTAGCTCTACTCCCTCGTGGCTCCTCTGCCAAACCCCCTCCCCCAGCCTGTTCATAAACAAAAGAGCGACGGCCCGTTTGGCCTCTCTCCTTTATAGCAGAGAGGACCTAGAGCAGGGAATTCGATATTGTTATATCCTGTGTATTAAACTCTTGGAGACTGCTCTGAAAGGAGACTCTTCCATTTAAAAGCCCCAGAACTACTTAAAGTAAAAATTAAATATAACACAAATTCTGTCTTAATTAGTCAGTTTTTAATGTATCTAGTCTACTATACAGTCTAGTAGCATTGACCGGCAGCCCATAGCCTTGAATTTTCTTTTTACCAGATAGTGCTTCCTGTATCTCATAGATGTCCTCTGATTTCTTTGTTCCAATAACCCTTGCTATTCATTCCAGGCTAGCGCCTCTCTTATACACAGAGAGGAGTGCATAGTCCCTTAGCCGTAACTGTAGCAGGCCTGATGTCCAGTGTGCCAGAAGTCTCGAAACTGATGTTTTCCAGATATATGTAGTTAGTCTTACCCCTGGTCTTGGCTGTGCCTTACCCAGTCGGGGTGTTCTGAATGATAAGCCCTATCTAGGAAAGCACATGGATTTCTGAAGCTATGAGACTGTTTACATGGATAGAAGCAGAGACCTAGCAATAGTCCTTTTCACCTAGCTGCATCCCCAGATCCACGTACATGGATCCTGGTGCACATACCCGACAGAGCAGTTCGGGAGTTAGTGCTCTTCATGCGCATGATGTACATCATTCATTACCAATCTGAAAATAGTGTAGCAAAGGGATACTGCATTCTGCAGACGTGGCTACATCTCTGCAGATGCCTCAGAAACAAGAAACAAGAATAATCTGTCTGTCACTTGTTCAATGTGACTGATTTAAGCATCACTGCTCTCCTCAGGAGTAGGTAAATTAGTATCACTCCAATTCTGAAGGAGGGGAACATGAGGCTCAGGGAGGTGAAGTGACTCACCCAAGGGCACATCGGCAGTCAGAGGCAGAACAGAGATGAAAAGTCAGGAGTTCTGGTTCTGTGATTATCAGAACCCGTTGCCTTACTCTGAATTTGGAACCAGTTGCTGTTTGCCATTTGTGCTGACACGTCTCTAAGCTGATTTATCAGAAGGGCCTTAAAGCTCCCCTCCTGCATTCAGAAGTAATGCACTTCTTCTGTTTACTGCCTGCTGAGAGGAGTTGCAGTGCCCCAATCCAGTACTCAGCATTGTAGAGCCCAGTTTCTTACTGTTTCTTCCTGTCTGCTACCTTCCTAGCCAGGGCATTGATATGTAGATAATATCCCATTATCTTCATTGTCTATGAAATACACCATTCCCTTGACACCTCAGAAGTCTGATTTTTCCCCTTTGGAAATTGTCCTCAAGATTTTCTATAGCTGTGCTTGCATTTGGGAGGAGGAAGAAGCCTACAGAGCACACAGAGGCCCCTCTGTCACCCCTACTAAGACAAGAATCCTGAAGAGAAATGTGTGATCTGACCCTCTCATGAACCCCACAAAGGATAATTTCACAACTGGCACACTGGTCTTTTGTTGCTATTGGGGGTTTGTGAGCTCTGTTCTTTTTATTTATCACTATTCTTTTATTTTTCTCTGTGTAGGGGCCTCCTACCCACAAGCAGTTCGGTGCCAGGGCTGGAAGTCCTTTAGCTGCTCCATTTCCCCCTGACTTGGGTTAGCAGGCTTTCCAGAGAAAACAGGAAAGCACCATCTGTCCCCAACTTCACAGTTCTCCCCAGAGGCTACAAAGAAACAGCAAAGTTAGATTCCACATTCCGAAGCACCGCATATTGTGCTAATTAATTACAAAGTATTAATATCAGGAATGTGACGTTATTTATCCTTGCTCTATTCTTATAGCAGCACTAAGCCCTAGGGAGAGAGGGAAAGGATCTGCACAGACAAGTGGAGAGTAACACATACCTTCACTTCTCTTCTGTATTCTGCGGATGGGCTCCTTTCGGTGCAGCCTGGATGTGCTTTGAATACATCTAAGCTCTGATCTCTCTAAACAGCTCCAGTGTCCTTCTTAAAATGCCAGTCAAGGGGGTGGAGCCTATACAGGGGGTAGGGACTTTTTCACCCAGGGGAAAGGATACAGTGATGGCTATGGTGATGAGGTCAGGATAGGCTGGGCTAGCTTTTTCCAAAGATGAGGGGGAGGAAGTGTCTGATGAAGTCAACAAGCAGATCCTGGCTCTCATCCAGTCAGTATTATTCATGGTCCTGATCAGAAAGCAGTCAGTGACTCCAGGACTTTTCTTTTTGGTATCATTGCCTTTTCCTCTGAGCCCTTTGGAGTGTGAGCAACAAATCAGATAACAAGTGCCACTTACAAAGAAAACCTTCATTGTGGTTCCAAGAACAGGGGGACAGCATCGCTCACACCATGCCCCCAGAGTTACAAATGTTCATTATTTTCTCAGGCCACCAGCTTAACTGGTGCTGTGCAAACTGTAGAGAAAGAGCATGTCACGCCTTCAAGGAACGTCCCACGCTAAACAGGCAGATGATGTAGTTCAGGCGTGTAATGCGTCAGGAATCCGTCTCTGAGTGGTACCTAGTCACATCACTAGAAAAAGATAGTGGAACAAAATCTGACCTGGCAGCCATAGAGAGCACAGAACAGTGTAAGGGGAAGAGGACAGGGCAGGACATGGTATGAGGGGGTATGTCTACACTACAAAGTTAGTTCAAACTAACGGACGTTAGTTCGAACTTAATTCGAACTAACGGAGCGCTTAGTTCGAACTAGGTAAACCTCATTTTACGAGGATTAAGCCTAGTTCGAACTAGCTAGTTCGAATGAAGGGCTGTGTAGACCCTTAATTTGAACTAGTGGGAGGCTAGCCCTTCCCAGCTTGCCCTGGTGGCCACTCTGGCCAACACCAGGGAAACTCTATTGCCCCCCTCCCTGCCCCGGAGCCCTTAAAGGGCCACGGGCTGGCTACACAGTTTGTGCCAGTAGCAAGGCTGCCAGCACCCAGCCAGCAGACCCTGCACCTGCCACAACATGAGCCAGACACCCGAGGACACCCAGCCCTCCCCCTCTTCCCGGGACCAGCCTGGCAGCTCCCAGGAGCCTGCCCGGGGCTGCAAGAGGCGGGCGCCTGCCTGCCACAACAGGAGCCAGCCCCCCGAGGACCCCCACCCCTCCACTGCTCCCCAGGACCAGCCTGGCGGGTCCCAGGAGCCTGCCCAGGGACGCAAGAGGCGGGCACCCGCTTGGTCAAGTGCAGAGATCGTGGACCTCATCGAGGTTTGGGGGGAAGCCTCCAATGCCAGCCGGGGGCGCACCCGGGGGCCTGCCCCCACTTCCACGCCCTGGACCGCCTCCTGGGGGCTCATGCCGTCCCTGCCCCCCGGGACATGATAGACCCCGGGGCAAAGGGACCGCTCTAGGAGACGGAGGAGGAGGAGGAGGAGGGCTCTGAGAGCCAGGAGCCTGCCGCCAGCCTGCCCAAGACCCGGGACCCCCGAGGCACCCCACAGAGCCGTTCGCCTGTGTCGTCCGAGGCCGGGGAGGCGTCCACATGTGGGTACCATCGGGTTCCCCTTATGTGTAGGGGGG